CACACTGCATAGTAAAGAGAATAAACACCAAACTTCAGTGTTAGTGAACATCGTTCAAAGTTTTGGTTTCTGATGGAAACAGGAAGCTGTAAAGACATTTACAAAGTTCTGTTTCAAATAAATGCTTTTCTTTTGAACTTTCCATTCAATAAATAAATAAGTAAATAAGCGAATAAATAAATATATTGAAATAAAAATATTAAATATAATATACGTGAGCTACTGAACATGAAGTCAACAGAAAAACTCATCAACCAGTAATCAACTGTGGAGTTACTACTTGGATATGTTTTCTTTTAAGCGAGTACATCTGCCCTGCCTGAAGAAAATTTATTTGAATTTTTCCCTTTTGTTTTTCCTAATTATTTATTGCAGGAACTGGCTGCGCTTCAGCTCATTTCTCTGGCTTGTTCTCTTAAGCTTTAATGCTCAAAGCGCTATGACCGCTTCACCAGACCTGTAACAGCTCACAATACTTCCTCCGTCCCTTGAGAAGTGTTTTTGGAAATCATGTTTTCCTCTCTGACGGTAAACACGGGCTTTCTTGAAGTCGTACGACTGTGGAGATTCTATATTCTGCATGTAAGATGCTTTTCAGACAACACAGTTTATGATGTTCACTTCAGCTGATATCTCATACTGTCACTACTGAACTCAGACGCTCCCACACTTCATTTTCCACACTCCACTCAAATACTACAAAATTTGTGTCTCTGCCAAAATGCCTGTTTATTTCTTTTGCGCTCAGCTTTCTCTGACAACAATCATTTCCCCCATAAACGGCTTTGAGCATAAACTCTGATTTTAAAAAAAGCATCTTGACATCTTTTCACTCAGTGACTTTTGTGTGTTTGTGGTTTTTCTCCACTACAGTTGACTGCGCTTTGGTTTAATTTATATTTTTTAATCAAAGGCAGAACAATGTTTCAAAAAAGCAAAACCAAACAACGAGCTCAAAATTAAGCTGAGATTTGTACCATTTTTCACTGACCTTGTTGCACTGCATTCTGGGATTGGCTGGTCTGTAAAAGATGTGACGCTGTCTAACATAATTATGCTGTGTACATGCTAAAAATATGCTTATGAACTCAGAAAAGCTATTAATACTTCTTATTTACATGAAGAAACACATTTCGAATGGACTAAATACCACACACTGAGTTGTTCAGTAGCTTGTTTCATGCATGTGGTGCAATAATTCTTGTTTTGGTCTTCTAACATGAATAAATCAGATGCAAAACAGACTTGAGGTTGTTTACGCCTCTAAGAGCAGCGTGAAACATCTGTGATTTACATATCTATTCAGAAAGGTATTAACTGTGCTAATGGCTAGATCACACTCACATACACAACAGCACACAGAAGAAGAATTGAGTCAGCTGTCATGGACAGTTTTTGCTTGTTCATTGGGTCATGTGTGATTGCGCATCTTGGGCAAAGGCACAGTCAAACATCTAGCACCAAAGACCTCACTCAAGCAAGTCGCTTCTCTGGATGGCCATCTTGGTATTGTCTCAAGGCAGTATTTTCTTTTCTTACTTTCTTAATTACTTACTTACTTCTTTTATTATTAATAAACAAACATAAACATACAACAGAACCATATTGAACTAGAGTGTAAAAAGTAAAATTGAATACAATAAATTAATTTAAACAAAATAAAAAGTAACAAGTTGAATTAAGAAAAAAATCGAATAAAACAAAAAAATTCATTTTCGTTACTTGAAATAAAATAAACTGCTGAAATAAAAGAAACTTAAACTTATTTAATTTCGGCTAATTGCCAAGGCAATATTAGTGTAGCTTGAAGTAATACAATAACTAAAACTAAATAAACTAAAACTAATAAATTAAAATTTCTAAAAACTATATAGACATATTTAAAAAAAAAAGAAAAAAAAAAAAGAAAAAGAAGTAAAAATTACAAAAACACAACAAAATTAGTAAAACTTCAAATAATACTAAAGAGAAAACAGAAAAATCAAATCTAATTCAAAATATTAACAAAAACTATATATACATACAAACGCCCGTGTTTGTATATATATAATTATACTATATACTATTATACTATAATATATATTGTTTAATATATTTCTCATGAGAAAATAATTCTATATATATATATATATACAGTGGGGCAAAAAAGTATTTAGTCAGCCACCAATTGTGCAAGTTCTCCCACTTAAAAAAACATTAAATACAATAACAGTTGTATTCATATCATTTAGCGTTTTTATCTTAAGCACAGCAAAAACTCAATTTCTCAGGTTGGTACAGCTAAAGTGCAAGTATATTTTAGAGAAAAACAATGAGATGTTGCTTTTATCAATGAGGTGTTGGCTCTTTTAACTCATTTGCCATATTCAGTGCCAGTGTTGGGCAAGTTACTCTGAAAATGTAATCAAATGACTGATACTGTTCTGATTACTTTATTTCAAAAATAATTAGTTACATTACTAGTTACGTTACTTTTTTCTCCATTCCCGATAAATATTTGTTATTAAAGCATCAACATTCACAGAGCACTGTTATTTTTAACTAAAGCAAGCGGCTGCTGCGTGCATGGTTTGGCATGGCAGAATATATTTTATATTAGTTCATGTTGCTTTTGTGCCATAGATGAATAATTTATTTGTTTTAGATATTTTATGTTTAGATATTTCTATTTTGCGGGAGTCCCGTGAATCATTTTATTCTCCCGCATCCCGCACACACACACGAGTGTCTACCCGCTCGCACCAGCACTCGCCCATCTTCTCGCCCCGTCGGGTCTCGCGGGAGCAGGTCTCTAATCCACTGGCACTTGACTCGACAGTGAAAAAAACACTGCATTCTGTCAGCAATGTAACGCAGCAGTAACGTATAGAGACTTCGCCTTGTAACTATACTCTAATTACAATTTTGAAAATTATAACGCGTTAAATTACTCCGTTACTAAAAAAAAGTAATCAAATTACAGTAATGCGTTACTAAGTAATGCGTTACTGCCCAACACTGTTCAGTGCTGTGATTTCCCTGATACACGTGCTTACTACTTGAAAGGCAATTTAAATAAATGGGAATTTTTTGGGGACTTGAAACCCCCAGTTCCCATTTATTTTAATTGCATGGAAAGAAATCAACCAGTGCATTTTTCTCCATAGAGGACAAAAATTCATACAGGTTTGTAATGACATGAGAGTAAATTATATTTCATTTTTAGCTGAACTACCCCTTTAAATGCACTATAATCGACATTCATTTGGGTCAAAAGCAGAAAATGTGTAATATAAAGACAGAAAACGAGGGAGAGAGAGGGAGAGTAACTGATGGGGCAGAAGTCAGTGGACGTCTGTTAAACAGGCGAGCCAGAGGTTGCCAGGGCAACACAAACAATGTCCTGCAGTGATTAATGAGTGTGAGAGTGACTCTGGTGGCACAGGGTGGCATTGCCAATTACCTCACGCTCGCGCTCCCTCTGTCATATGGAGAGTGTGTAATGGAACACAGCCTGTGGCGCTACACCAAGGGTAGGAGGTCAAAGATTTAATTAG